AGATTTATAAACCTTCTAGTTTACAAGACTGATTGTGCTCATAATATTTATTTGTTATTATTATGATATTTTAAATGGAAGTAATTATATGTCTATTAATTACATGTTATTTATGTAAGTTTTTTCGTAATTGTGGGATGTGTAGGAGACGGTGGAGGAAAGGACATTTAGGATCAACGGGTTTCCGTTGTTTGAAGACTGTCATTTCGTGTTTGATGTGAAACACGCACCAGCCGTCGACTTTCGAGGAGTTGAGGGCTATGATCCAGACTACCCGGTTGTCATCCACAATGGCGAGGATGACGAACAGGCCGCTGCGAACGTTCAACCTAATCCACTTCCAAATGCGCCCATAGTTGTCGACCCGCACTATGCAATGTACCTGGATGACCTCTACAATCACATTCGAAATGAACGTGGTAACAACGGTGCAAACAACAACAATGGAAACGAGGTCGGTGGGAACGAAGCCGCTGAACCAGCCGATAAACTTATTGACTATCATGGAGACTTTAACTTCAAAATATTGGATTAAAAGTAATTCAACATAATGTGAATTATGAATTTTATTTTTGTTATAGAACAAAAATTATTGAATAAACCTGTTTTTTTTTTCTCCAAATTCAGAAAAATGGAGCAAAATCATAATTTTATGTTCCTGAGAAATTGCAGGAGAAAACTTGTGAGATAGATGCTACTATAGCATTCATATGGTGTAACAACGAGAAGGATTTTAATAATTCTAATATTAAACACAATTGACTTGAAATAAGAATTAACTAATGACGTGCATAAGACGTGCCCATTTATAGTTAGAGCAAAAAAAATATGATTTTTGAAATGTGGACATAGGATAATAATGATTCATGTAACCAAAGTTGATTTAGTTAAAAATTTATTCGGAACTTTATTTTAATAATTCATTATGAATATCATTTGCAATTTGTACGACTGACCTCAAATGCAAAGTTAACAAAATCTGTGCAAAAAACGTGCCGATTTCTATTAGCTTAAAAAAGAACTAAATTCAAGTAAAGCAAAGAGCATATCACCAAAGTAACCGATGGGAACAAATCAATCGCGTGAGATATGAGAGGATATCACAACCGGTCCCGATATATCTTTCACACAGAAGGTCTGTAAAAACAATACAATCTAAATGACGTTATTATTAATAAGTGAAATTCTAAGAATCTAAAATGATGCGATACCGACTGTTGCGTAATGCAAACTGCAAACAAAATTCAATCACAAAAAGTACGATAAGAGAAGAATGAGGTTTAAAAATAAAATAATTGATATACATAAAAAAAATATAAATATTACCAGAAACGTTAGACACAAGAACCCAAATAATAGTTTATAATTAGTGGTCATGCACATATTAATACGAAAATTATTGAGTCTAAGTAAAGATTGTTAGTCACGAATGATGGAACATGTAACATTAAAGATATAAATGAATTAAAATCAAACTGATCAACTCATTGACTATCATGCAAACTGTAACTTCACAATATCAGAATAAAATAATTTAATAAGATGTGAATTATGGATTTCATTTTCATTTTAATAGAAAACTAATTGAATAAGCTCTTCTCCCTTTTTTCTTTTTCGAATCCAGATTCAGGAAAATGGAGCAAAAACATAACTTTATGTTCAAGAGGAAATTGCGGGAGAAACCTTGTGAGATGACTGCTGCTATAGCATTCATGGTTCAACAATGAGAAGGATTTTAATAGTACTCATATTAAATATCACATGGAATTACATAATTGACTTGGAAAGTAAATAAATAAAAAAATAAACACGTGCATAAGATCTGCCCATTTATACTTAGAGTGAAAAACATGAATTTCCAAATTTAGACGATGGATAGTAATGGTTTATGACTATGTAACTAAAGTTGATTTATCAACTATTTAATCGGAGTTATATTTTAGTAATTTATAATAATTATTGACACAGGCACAATTGCCCTAAAGCCCAGATAGAATGAAAGCCCACAAAGTCCAAGAATGGCCCATAGCCATTTCTTCTTGCCCATTATATTTGATAAAGCTTACCAACAACCCCACATGGGGTAGATATAGACGGCGGATGTGACTACCTTCTGCTCAATGTCAGAGAAATGGGAAGAAATCTCGTGCCTTAGCATGAACTAAAAACAAGCCCGCTTGTGGCATAAATACACTACCGGGGCACAAATGCAGGGGAGTTTAAGCTCAATATTGATGGCTGATGGCTCTACTATAGATGATGTACGTACTGGAGGAGGGGTTATTCGGGATTCGGCTGTCGAAATGATTACAAGATTTTCATCATTTTTTTGGGGTTGGTACGAATAATTTTGCTGATTTTTTGACGGTAGTTCATGGTTTTCGGTTGTGTAAGCTTCTCGGTATTTCTCAAGTTACGGTGGAAATTGATTCTCTTTTGGCGATTATGGCTATTAGAACTTAGAGTGTTGCTTGGGAGCTTGAATTCGTTCTTCGTCGTCAGTATATGCAGGAGGTGAAAAACCTTCTTATTGTTTTTAGCATGTTGTTCGTCAGAAAAATACGGTGGTTGATCGTCTTGCCAATTGGGCGTATTCCACAAATCGACACAAGAATATTTCTCCAGACATTCATTACCTTTCGAGGCCAAGGAAACTTATATTGGAGACAAGTTGGGTGTTCCTAATTTCCGTTAGAGCTACTGTTGGTTTTCATATTTTTGGTCTTTCATAAATACCCCCGCCTAGGGACTATTATGCATTTTTTGTAATTGGTGCAAAGAGGCAACTGTTTGGGAACGACATTTCTGTGTATTTTCACTTTCACCCCGCCTGGGGGCCTTACATCAATTTTCGAGATTTAGTCTTTTTAGGCTTTGTAGTCTTTATCTCTTTCTTTAGTAGCCCTATTTTGGACCTTTTTATAATAGATTGTATAGGTCTTTGCTTGTTCCTTTTCATTTGTAGGGGGTATTCTTTTCCTTGTGAGGGTCCATAAGGTTTTTAAAGAGGCCCCGTTATACTTCCATAAGCATTTAATGGAATACAAAACTTTTTTGGAAAAAAAAAAACCTTTTAAAAGCACATATTTGTTCTACTGCTTTCATTCTCAATATACCTACCTATATCGTTTTCCACTATAACAAAAATTGGGTTGAGTTGACATAACCCCCTAGTACAACTCGATGGTCCTTCTCGAAGATAGTTCGCCACTCTCGGGTAGCAGGGAAGTAGAAAAGCAGTTACTCGTCGGATTTCCCTCTCCTCGACCGCATCAGTCCCGTAAGGGTTGAGCTCTTCCTGAGATCTCTGCAGCTCTTTTTTGAGCTCGATAACCTTGAGGTCAGCTGTCGAAGGACGACCTTCTAAATCCTCGGTATGAGCTTGGGTAGTGGCTTTAGCCTCATTTAGGGGCACATAGCTAGCTTTGAGCTCTACGTTGAATCTCGTAACCTCATGGCGATGTCATCCAGTTTTCCCATAACATCATGTAAACGAGCGATGTCTGGCGTTTCTTCAATGCATTTCAAAGCAAGAGCACGATTTGCCACTAATGCCTTTAGCTGCATCGCCAAAGGAAGATCACATCCAGATCATGTTATGCAAAAAAAAAAAAAAAGGAGAGAGATGGGAAATAAACAACCGCTATACCTGCCCTAAAGAAACGACGACCTGTTTTATCACTTGCTTCTCCGATTTAGAGGGCTCTAGCAGGGATGATGGGAGCCTGACACTCCTAACCTCGGTCTAGGGTTCCACCGTCTTAGCTCGTTTACGTGCGCGGACTCATCACAGGAATAACCCAACGTTGGGAATTTCTTGCTAACAGAAGGACGCTCGAGAAAATCACCTACAATGCTGCGGGATGGAAAAGAGACCAACGCTGTCGACGGGTTCGTTACAACAGTAACCAGGCGACTACTAGCGACTACATACGACACTTTCTGAGCTTCCTTTTCCCTTCGGCTTGTTGAAAAGACTCGTCTCCGTGAGTCCACAAAGAAAACAAACATATGGTCCCACATATTCAGTTCAAAACATAAAGAAATATATGTAAACAATATACGGTACATGTTTAGGGTTGCATTATTACCACACTTTTCAGCACAGGTTATACTCAGAGTAGGAATTGCATGGCGAGAGCCTCGCATTAAAAGGGATTAACCAACCACGCGATCCACACATAATAGCATGTGGGGAAGAAATGGTTCACTATCTCCATCTCAGATCGAAAACCATCTCCCACTGGATCTTCATCTGGAGTATTGTACATTAGGAAGGTCGGAAAGAGCTAGGAGGCACGGGATCGGACAAAGAAAAATTTACGCGACCAGCCAAGATGAGTGAATTGATTGAGAAACAACTCATTTGGATAATTGCTAGATGAGTGAATTGATTGAGAGGAATCCTATATTTTTTAGAAATGTTGGAGAAAAAAGGTTTCACTGGGAAAGACAAACCGGCCTTCACCTGATCGGAGCTAGAATATCGGTAGGGCGGACAATTAGAGTATCACAACCCTCACAAAATTCAACCACCTTCGCTAGGTTCGTCAGATCTACACGACTCACCAAGGACACTTACGGCCGTGGCAGAGTCGGATGGACCCCGCGACTTGAACCCACCACCGGGCTTCATCGGAATCTGACGCAGAACGGAAGTACGGTAGAGAACTAATTGCACGAATTAATAAGAAAGAACACGAGAACTCTGGAATCCACCAGAAAATTAAGAGAAAACTCAGAAGTTTTATTGATGATAAACGATGCTGAACAAATAAGCCCTATAGTAACTACTTATACTAATGAAAACGAAAAACCCTAATCAAACTAGGAAAACGAGAAAATTACCAAAAAAAGGCAGAAAAATAAAATAAAATAAAATAACTCCTAAATCTAATAGAATACCGAAAATTGGAAATATCCCAACTTGCAGATTTCAAATCCGATTTTTCTAGAATTAATTATGAATTATTTCAAGCTTTCCTAAAATGGCAAAAACGTCATTTTGAGGGCCTAAACAACCTCGTCGTTCCGGTTCGGAAAAACTTGGCCTCGTGCAATTTCGCCTCCGTCGTCTCTTCATAAATCCCTTCTTCTTCGAAAGAGCTCGACCTCGAGCTTGTATCGAGATAAAGTGGAGTATCCTCCTGATACTCGTACAAGTTCGAAATGTTGAAGATCTTCAAAATACCCATGTGAACCGGGAGGTCGATTACACAAGCATTATCATTAATTTTCTGAAGGATTTTGCCATACTTATTTGGCTTGAACTTGTTATACGTTCCAACCGGGAATCGCTCATTCTGAAGGAATACCATAACATCGTCATCCTCATCAAAAGTTTTCAGACTTCGATACTTGTCCGCATCAGCTTTATACTTCACATTCTTTTGCTCGAGCTTATCCTTGACCTTCGCTTGCACATCTTGCACTTCATTAGCCATCCGCTCCGTTGCCACACTTTTTCGGTGCTCTTGAGGGAAGCGTATCAAATCCGCTGCATGTTCGGGAGCTGTCCTATAAACCAATGTAAACTCTAGTGGCGCTATGCACAACGCTATTGTAAGCAAACTCCGCATGCGGTAAATCGTGATCCCATTGTCTCGGGTGATCGCCACAAATACATCGTATCAAATTTTCCAAAGTTCGATTAGTCACTTCTGTTTGCCCATTTGTTTGCGGATGTGCTGTGGTGCTTTGCCTGAGGGAGGTGTCAAACATCTTCCAAAGGACAAGCAAAAAATGGCTAAGGAATTCACATCTCGATCGGATGTGATTGTCTTCAATACGCCGTGTAAACGAACCACTTCTCGAAAGAACAGTCTCACAATGTGAGGTGCATCGGAAGTCTTTCGTCACGGAATGAAGTGAGTCATCTTGGAAAACCTATCAACCACCACGAAAACTGAATCAACTCCTCACTCGGTTCGCGGCAAGCCCAATACAAAATCCATCGACAGATCTTCCCAAATACTACTCGGAACCGGGAAAGGTTTATACAACCCCGTATTTTGAGACCGACCCTTCAAAACCTGGCAAACATAGCACTTAACAACCACCTTACCAACATCTCGTCATCTTGTCTCGCTCCTAGTGACCACTCAGCCCGCTCGCATGTATATCTACAATTACCTTATCGTGAAGAGAAGTCCTCGGAATGCATAGCTGGTTACCTCTAAACATAAATCCTTTATTAATGTAATAATCCTCCATTGGCTGTCGACCAACACACTTAGACCATATTTCTTCAAAATCATCATCCCCATCGTACAACTCCAAACACTCCAACCTGACCACTTCCTCACTAAGAGTGGTAAGTAATGCAGCTCGCCAACTTAGAGCGCCTGCGACACGGTTCATGATCCGACTCCGATGCTTGATCACAAATGGAAACTTCTGCAGGACATTCGTCCACCTCACATGCATGTTGTCGACACTTTTCTGACTATTCAGAAACTTCAAAGCTCGGTGGTTGGTGTATAGCATGAACTCCTGTTATATCAAATACGGCTCCCACTGTTTCAAAGCCCGAACTACTGCATAAATTCTTGGTCGTAAGTGCTCCACTTTCTTCATGCATCACTTAATTTATCGCTGAAGAAAGCAACCGGACACTTTTCCTGGGACAAAACAGCTCCAATGCCTACTCCAGTGGCATCACATTCCACTTCAAACACCTTCTCGAAATTAGGCAAAACTAAGACAAGTGCAGTACTTAATTGCTCCTTGATTACTGCAAAACTCTAATCTGCTTCGTCACCCCACATAAACTTTTGCTCCTTGATTAGTGCAAAACTATGATCTGCTTCGTCACCCTACATAAACTTTTCCTTTTTCATACATTCAGTAATAGGTGCCATGATGGTTCTGAAATCCCGAATGAACCGACAGTAGAATGTTGCCAACCCATGGAAACTTCTACTTCAGAAACATTTTTAGGAGTGGGCCACTCACGAATCGCCTGAACCTTCTCATCATCGACATGAATTCCTTCAGCTCAAACTATAAATCCCAAGAACACTAATCGGCTTGCCATGAAAGTACACTTCTTCAAATTGATGAATAGCTGATTATTCCTCAAAACAGTTAACACCTCACGCAGACGTCCCATATGCTCGTTCTCTTGTTTGCTATAAATCAAAATATCATCGAAATAAACAATGATAAATTGTCTAGAAAAGAGTCGTAATACCTGATTCATCACGCACATGAAAGTGCTAGGCGCATTCGATAACCCAAACGGCATCACCAACCACTCGTACTAGCCATCTTTTATCTTGAACACTGTCTTCCACTTGTCCCCGAGCCTAATACGAATCTAATGATACCCACTCCAAAGGTCAATTTTTGAAAACAACTTTGCACCTTCCAGCATATCCAATATATCGTCATTTATTACTCTACTATCGACACACATCCTCCAGCTGTCATCATTTTTCTTCACTAGTTGCACATGCACCGCACACGGACTCATACTCTCTCTAATAAACCCATTTTTCAGCAACTCATCCACATTCTTTCGCAAAATCTCACATTCTTATGGACTCATCCGATAATGTGGCAGATTTGGCAGGCTAGCACCAGACACTAAATCAATCAGGTGTTGAATGTCTCTTATAGGCGGTAGCGAATTCGGTAGGTCATCAGACACTAACTCATCAAACTCCATAAGCACCGGTTGCGCACTCTTAGGAATTACGATGATTTTTTTATGAACCTCCTCTTCATTTTGAACTCCCGAAGACCTCATCATTGTCACGTATACTTCAGCTGCTGATTCGACATTTTCTATGAATTCACTCTCAGATTGAGAGACCACAAAAACTAGTTCCGTTCCCACTATCCTGGCGGGCTTGACTGTCGACTCCGATCAGGGTAACATCACAATCTTGATCCCACCCCACTCAAATATGCATGAGTTTTCTCTCCCCTATAAGTCATATTAACGTCGGACCGAGTAGCGCGTGGCTAGCATCCATGTCTATCACGTCGCATGTCACCTCATTGGCATAGTTTATTCCAATCGAGATAGGCACACGACATACTTCTAACACTTTAATCGTTGGCCCTATCTGAATCCACCCAATAGCACAAGGGATTTGATGTTTTTTCTACAGGAAACTTCAAAATATTCCAGTAACCTTCTCGCAACAAAATGTTCGCAACTATCGTTGTCTACGATCATGTCATACCTTATTATTAACTGAGCACTGAGAACAAAATATGTTGTTCCACTGGTTTTGTTGTCTCGTTGTGCAAAGAACTCGTTGCACCGCACAGTTTAGTTGTTCTCCATCCTCCTGACTATGATATTCTGCCGTATCGTCCTCTGCCTGAAAAATGCCTTCATCATAACCATCCTGATCACTTTCTCCTATGTGCATTGGAATGGTGTCCTGGTTTGTGACACCTAAAACAATTTCCAGGGACCGGACTCGCATAGGGAATGTTTTGTTCGAGGCAGAACTGGCATGCTCGAACTATTGGCGTCGGCTCTCGTCTGGATCACTGGTGCCCTTGATGGCGGGGCAACAAGGATAGAGTTTTAGAATACAAACTTACCCCTATCAACCCGCAGTGGGGCATAATTTGGAGGTCTCCGATAATTATTCGCGTTGTTCATCGCACAAAGTCCTCTGTGTTGGAGTAGGTACCAACAAGCCAACTTGTGGCTGTGGTCTTGACAGAGTAAGTGACCAACAAGACAACTTGTGGCTGTGGTTTTTCATTTATTCTTGTAATAAATAATCATTTTTCGTATTAATGATAAAACACCTTGTGGCATTCTATATATTTGTCCCTTGCATAAGCATAGATATCGTCCTTACAGTTATTATAATTACTTATATTTGATCTATTAGGATCATGTGATATTTAGTTAAGTATTATAACTGTTAAACCATGTTCCTAGTCGAAGGGTTATGCCACCAAGAAGGATATCAGCCTTTCCCATTAAGAGACTAGCACTTAGTGTATGTGTATTGCGTCTCATTAGTAAACGGTATTGTGATATTGGCATACATAAGTGGGTGCTTGTAAGTTGACGAGTTCACTGAACTCCCTCATCCTAGAAATCTCTAAGTGGTTCTCAATAATCGAGTAGAGATCTCTATGATATAGTTGTATACCATTAGTTCTTAAGACCTAGATATCACCATGGCTTCACTAGAGGACCTATCGCGACCTGTCTCTGAGTTCCACTGAGGACCGCCCCAAGGGCCAGTGTTCGTGCAGTCCAAAATCTAGTGGGAGGTCTGTGCATTGTAGTCGGGGATTCGTTTGCTAGAATAGTCTTGGATGTCCTGTGTGTTCTTATAGTTTGTAATATTTAAGTCTCTGACCAGAGCTGACTAAGTGATGATTAGGGAATGTGATTTTCTAAGTCATGCACGTACCGATTACAACACTTAGAACGATCGCACAACTATTGAACTATAAAGGAGGTCTCGATGAACCAATGCCTCTAGTTCAGTCGAGACATATATATCGAAGGGATCCTACTGTACGTTAACTATATCACACGGTTCTTACATGAACTTCAATTGTATCTAGGGAATCATGTTGCGTAGTTGCTAGAAGCCAATCTTGATTCGTTGGGTGATTAAGTTGAAACGAGCTTCATCTTAATTATAACTCTAGGGACAAGTTTAAACCACAAAGAGTTGTGGGCTAACGGCTAGCTTACACCTGAACCATCGAGGGTCACACTGCTTATGTAATCGAGTTCTTTGAATAAACGGTTAAAGATAAATAAAATTATTCTTTGCATAGTTGGAAGTCGATTGAGTCCAACATTCATAATTGGGAATTATGAATGAGAATAAGAAAAAGGAAAGAACTAGGCGATTATCTTAGTGAACTTTCTAAATTGAGAAGTTTCCAAATTTAGCAGGTCCACTAAATTAGGGTTTCAAGTTTTAAAAATTTGAAATCGAGAATTGGCATTTGTATTGATGAATTTTGTTTTTTATTTTTTGTTTTTGTTTTTTAGTTATCTGTATCTCCATGATAGAATCACAACATCTGAATGAATAGTTTTTCTTTCATTTGAGGTGATAGAATCACAACATCTGAAAGAATAGTTCTTCTTTCATTTGAGGTAAAAATGAAAACTTCCCACTTTCTGTGCAGAAACAGCTTGTGCAATTTGTTATACCGTGTATTTGGAAAAAAATAATTACATATCTATATTTACTCTCATCTTTCAACCAAAATCAATTGCTAGCCTACCAAAGGTGAGAAGAAACCAGTAGAGAAGAACCCACGCCTCAAGAAGTGATTAATACAAACTGAGTGAGAGAGAATTGAAGATCTCTTCTTGATATGATCCTAACTAGCTCTAACACGAAGAATTGGGAGAAGAGAAAGCGTGTTAGTTTAATGAAGTTGTTCATGTTCAAAATATAATAAGAAATAGTGATGTTTGGGAAACTTGTTTTTCCAATTGCATATTGATATTGAATGAATGACTCAATCTTAAACTAAAGAGTTGTCAACAATCGACGGTGTGTTTGGATGTAAAAAAAGATCAATCTGATACGGCTCAAGTGGAGCTTGAGGTACTCAACAAGAGCACATGTGCATTGAATAACTCCAAGTCTTGTACACCGATGCAACAAAGTCATGATATTCTTCCAGAAAAAACATGAGATAAGTTTACTACCAACCCAACAGAGTGATCGTCAAACAAATTTCATCTATGCTACATTTAACATTGGATTGACTCGATGATGAATCTTTTTTAATAGAGGGTGTATGATATGATCCTAACTAACTCCAACACGAAGAATTGGAAGAAGAGAAAGCGTGTGAGTTTAATGAAGTTGTTCGTGTTCAGAATGATACGAACCACGCCGACCATGTGACGAGACCCGATAACAATACTTCGGATATCAATTCTTGGATCGTCCAAAGGAAGGAATCACATATGGGTGGAACATCGACCCGTTGTCTATAAAGAGACAAGAACCTTGGTATGTGAAGACGCCACAGTCAATTGTGAATGAGTTGATTGATAAGTCGGGGTGAACGCACGGAATCCTCCAATATGTTGGAAAAGTTCTTAAAGAACTAGAGAGAATAATCTCAATTTATTAATCAAAATTCGTTCATCCAAATAAGCCAAATCGGCATCCCATTTATAGGATCTAAAAAGACTTTTTTTTTTTCACAAGAAAGATGACTCCTATCTAAGCTATAATAAGAAAACTAATAAATAAGCAAATCATAACCATAAAGAACTCTAAAAATAATGAAAACAATAATTAATCCTAAAATAAAAACGTGCATAACTAAATTAAATAACTTGACCATCAAGTTGACTTCCCGATCACCATTCTAAACTCGCGTAAACATTTAGTTGTGCACGTGGAGACACTTAAAGATTGATTTAGACACTGTTACACTTCGGATCTCTCTCCGCCCAAAACATGAAAGTTCTAGACCTTTTAGATGGCTTTCAGCAGTAGTTCAAATCATGTTAATTGGAAATCAGGTGAGAGAGTTATAACTCGGATGATAAAGTTGTCAGAAATAGGCGAGAATTTTGGGATGCATGGAATTCGGCTTGTCCAACGTATTTCCCTCTTAATTTTCTTCCAATTCCAAACTATGGAATCTTCAATCAACTCCTTGCGTTGATTCTTATCATTATGAACACGAACAACTTCAATAAACTCACACGCTTTATCTTTCTCCAATTCTTCGTGTTGGAGCTAGTTAGGATCATATCACTTCTTCTCGATATAGTTTTAGGTTTTCCAAAATATTACATTTAGTTCGCTAAAACCTTTCCAAAATAACTGTATTTGGTTATTTTCCTCGATAGAACGCCTATTTTCACCATTTTTATGTCAACAAAAGTGCATAATTTAACTGCTATTTTCTTGCGTTTATATACGTTAGTGTCAAACTTTTCTAAACGTGAGAAGAAATATGCAAAAATAAAATTCAAGGTCAAAGTTTCAAAATATGCATCGATAGCAGTCTCTCAAACTCATGTTCATTTTGTTTCCTCCTCTGTTTCGTTTAGTGTCATTCAAAACGCCAAAATAAGTCGTTCTTGTAGTAGTTCTTTTGCAAGTCATTTCGAAAGATGTGTTGGTGTGCTAAGTTTGTTGCTCTATAATTGATGAACCGTCTAACTCAAAATATGTATGAAAGTTCTTACCAAAGTTAAAAATATGTACCGCTTTTATTATTTGGTTTTTTTCTTCTTTTTGTATATCTGCATATGCACAATCCGAGTTTTGTTCTTTTACATATGGTGTGATAAATGTTTAGGCTTATTTTTGCGGGTTTCTTCAGATATATGTAACATATTATATATTGTAAGTTTTTTATGTTTATGAGTTTACACGATTGAGCAAAAAATGTCTGCTGTTTTGTTAATTCATGGATTGCTTTAAAAAAAGTCTCTTATGTTTACGATTTCCACTGGGTTTATTTTGTATAGGTTTCACGAACATGAAGAAAGCAGCGTTATACCATGTCTTTGTTTCTTTTTTGTGGGAAATATTGATATTTCAGTCACATCTTTAAATTGTTCAGGGTTTCACAAAGTTTTTGGTTTTCTTCTAAATTTGTCAAACCAAGGAGCAATTTCATAACATGGTGACTCTCTTTTCAGCCATATCTATTAGTCGTATATTTACTAATATATATATTATAGATAAATATTGTATTATTGGTATGTATATCTCCTAGTTCCCTTGTGTAAAGGGTTAGGGTTTTCACACATGTAATATATTTATCACAATAAACGTGAGAGATAAGGATTCTCTATTCTCTCCAAATATTCATCTTCTATCATGGTATCAAGCCAAAAACCCTAAAACACAGCCGCCATTTCTCTTCTTCTTCAATTTTTTTTTCTCGTTCTTTCTTCTCTTCATCCACCATGGCCAACGAAACACCAACACCGATCATGATTTCCAATCCCTTTCAGCTTGCTCATGATATATCTAACATTAAAGCCCTTGTTTTTGTGACCATGGACATTAAAAATCCGAATTATCAAAAGTGGAGCCACTTCTTCACCATCATCGCAGGCCGCTTCTGTCTCACCGATCTTCTTCTCGGCAAAGAAAAGCCCGCAGACATCTCTGCCGATGAGTGGCAACACGCGGATTACCTCCTCCAATCTTGGATCTATGGCACCATAACCGAGGACCTCTCAAGCATGGTTCTATCCAAAACCGCAATGGCTCATGATCTGTGGAAGGCCCCCACCTCGCTCTTTACAGACAACGAAGACTATCGGGCCATCCAACTCGAAGAACAGTTCAAGTCCCTAAAGAAAGGATCTCTCTCGATTCATGATTACTGTCACCTTCTCAAAACCACCGCCGACAACTTGGCAGATGTCGGCAACCCCGTGCCGGACAAGCAACTCGTTCTCCAAACCCTCTACGGTCTACCAAAGCATTACGGGACCATTGTCAATCTAATCTCATTCCAAACTCCGTTGCCATCTTTTGTCCAAATTCGCTCACTACTTCAGATGGAAGAACATCGCATTGCTGAACCGGAGCAGACGCCCACTGTTCTCTATGTATCTCGCCCCAACAGTTCCAACAATTGGCCAAACAGTCTGAGTAATTATCGAGGTGGTGGATCTTGGCGCAATCAGCGAGGTGACGGTCGCACAAACTGTCGTGGTGGTCGTGGTCAGCTGCGATATCCGATGCAACACTACGGTTCTAATCAATTTCATAACCAATCGCAATCTTGGCGGGCTCCTTATACACCTCAGACATTTTCATCAATTCTTGGACACCCCCCCCCCCCCAAGCTCTCCTGGTCCTTATCATGCTCCTACAGCTCATGCTTATTTCGTTGGACAACAAGATTCGACATCTGGCCACTCCTCCACTGCCTACAACTATCCTCCTCAACAGCACGTGAACTGTTCAAACAATTCATCGAACAGTGGTCCCCTACAGCCCACAGATCTTGCCACTCATCTCAACACATTGACTCTCTAGTCATCGAGCGAACCTCAGTGGTTTATGGACACGGGCGCATCATCTCACATGGCACCTCACTCAGGTAATTTCCATTTTATTTTTAATTTTAGTAATGATTTCCCCAAGCATGTCATCATTGGTAATGGCTCCACCGTCCCTATCCTTAAAATTTGCCAATGTCTATGTCACTCCTACCTTCTACCCCATTTCGTCTAACCAATGTCTATGTCACTCCTCACATCATTAAGAATCTTGTGTCTGTCCGAAAATTCACTAGAGATAATTCATGTTCGGTTGAATTTGACCCTTATGGCTTTTCTGTGAAGGACCTCCAGACCAGAGCAGTCATACTCAACTGCAATAGCTCCGGTGATTTATACCCTATTGGCGTCCCTTCTCCCAGCCCATCCGCAACCGCCCTCATTGCTCACACTACACCTATCTCTTCTACTACATGGCATCGTCGTCTCGGCCACCCGGGAAACCCTGTCATGTCTCGTCTTTTTTCTTCCAATTTTATTTATAGTACCAAAGACCCACGGGAGTCTCTTTGTAATGCTTGTCAATTAGGAAAACATATTCTCTTACCTTTCGTTACTAGTCATTCTATTACCGTTGCACCTTTTGAAATTATTCATGCTGATTTATGGACCTTTCCTATTTCTAGTATTTCTGGTTTCAACTATTACCTTGTGTTAATAGATGATTTCACCCACTATACATGGACTTTCCCCATCTACTATAAATCTGATGTTTTTGCACTGTTCCAACAGTTCCACAAACTTATACAAACCCAATTTCAGCACCCCATTAAAGATTTACAATGTGATAATGGATGTGAATTAAAAAATACCGACTTTCAAACATACTTTGCCAAACACGGTATCTTACACCGTTTCTAATGTCCCCACTCTTCACCTCAAAACGGACATGCCGAACGCATGATCCGCACCATCACAAACATGATCCGCTCACTTCTCTTTCAAGCTTCCCTCCCCCCACCTATTGGGTCGAAGCCATTCATATGGCTACACATTTCATCAACATCCTCCCTACCAAATGCGCACAAAATCGCACGCCACATGAATCCCTATACAAATCAAAACCCACCAACTCTCACCTTCGTGTCTTCGGTTGTCTCTGTTATCCTAATTTAACCGCCACTACCCCTCACAAACTCGCCCCTCGCTCTACTCCTTGTGTCTACCTTGGTCACCCCTCATCGCACAAAGGCTATCGTTGCCTCGATCGGTCCACCGGTCGAATCATTATCTCCCGTCATGTGATCTTTGAAGAAACTCGTTTTCCATTTGCTGAATTCACCGACTCATCATAGAACTCCCCCACCTCTAATATGACCGAACTCCTCCACCCATTTCTCCTTCTTCCTCGGCCTAAACCAGCCCCACCTACTGTTTCACACAACTGTCCCAACAGTTCGTCCGATAGTACTACAGAACCACCTACTGTCCCGTCCAACTGTCCCAACAGTTCGTCCGACAGTCCTACCTCAACTCCACCCATGCCCCTCAACCCGGCTGAACCCTCACAGCCAGCAGAACCATAGCCCCCCCCCCCCCCCCTCCCATTTCCTCACCCCCCACCCAACCATCCCATGCTGACACGCAACAAAGTCGGTATTCATAAGCCCAAAATCCCCTTTTCTCTCAACGTGTCTAACTCATCCCCAACTCCCACTACATATCGCCATGCCCTCCTTGATCCAAACTGGCGTATGGCCATGCTTGAGGAATATACTACTTTGATTAAAAATAACACATGGGATATTGTGCCCTGCCCCTCTTCTACTAATGTTTTTAGTGGCAAGTGGTTGTATAAGCAGAAATTGAAGGTTGATGGTTCATTGGAACGGTATAAAGCACAATGGGTTGTTCGCGGTTTTGATCAACGCCCTGGTACTGATTTCGATGAAACATTCAATCCGGGTGGTAAAACCAGCAAGCATTGCTACCTCTCACTCTTGGCCGGTCCATCAACTCGACGTTAAGAATGCATTCATCCACGGCAAACTCTCTGAAACAGTATACTGCGAACAACTACCTGGTTTTGTTGACCCTACTCGTCCCACTCATGTATGTCGTCTCCGAAAGGCTCTTTATGGTCTCAAACAGGCATCACGTGCGTGGTACAAGAGATTTGCCGGCTACATCACCTCTCTCGGATTTATCGAGTGCAAATCGGACACCTCCCTCTTTGTGTATCGTATTGGCTCTACAGTTGCTTACTTCCTACTGTATGTTGACGACATTGTTCTGACAGCTTCCAGCACAACCACTCTTCAGTCTATCATTACCAAATTCCACCAAGAATTTGCTATGAAGGACCTCGGCCCCCTACACTACTTCCTTGGCATATCTGTTACACGCTCGTCCGAGGGGATGGTCCTCTCTCAACGTAAATATGCCGAGGAGATCCTTGAACGTGCTAAGATGACTTCATGCAACCCGTGCCTCACCCCAGCGGATACCAAAACAAAATTTATGCCAACTATAGCCCCCCTGTCGCCGACCCTTCTCTTTACCGGAGTCTTGCCGGCGCTCTTCAATATCTCACTTTCACACGGCCAAACATCTCTTATGCCGTGCAACAAATATGTGTTTTTATGCATGATCCCAAGGAAACTCACACGGCAGCCCTCAAAAGAATCTTGCGATATCTTCGCGGCACTCTTGACTATATGCTTCACTTCTACCGCTCTAGAGACATGTCTCTTATTCAAGGTTGTAAAAAGCGGTAATCGGGTCGGAGGCGGTCAGGGACCGACTCACGATTAATCGGTGCGGCGGTGATTAATCGGTGATAAATCGGGAATAAATCGGTTTTTAAAATTTAATATAATATATTTGTAGATATTATTTATAAATACTCAAAACATAGATAAAAAATATTTAAACATAGTTATATCTCCATCATGTATATATTCTAACAACATAATAAAAGTTTAATAATAATAATATCATAATACATAAATATCCTTGTAAAATATAAATAAAAAGGCATTTTTTTTGAATTTACATACATTCTTGGCATACATCATTAGTTCTTTAACAATAATAATTAACATAAAAAAAATAAAAGATAAACTCATTTTTTTTTTATTAAAATCCCAACTTTTATTTTGATTTATTAAAAAAAAAAAAAAACCGATTTTTTGCCGATTTTTGCCACCGAAGTTTGACCCGCCTAAAAGGTTTGACCGCCTCAGACCGCCTCAAACCGCCTCACATGCAAAAATCGATTTTTCAAACCTTTCCACTAAAATCGTAAAGGTTTTGGACCGCCTCCGCCTCGGCGACCGATTAATTGGCCGCCTCGGCCGATTTTTAGAACACTGCTCTTATTGCGTACTTTGATGCCGATTGGGGTGGATGCCCTGACACTCGCCGATCCACTTCGGGCTATTGTGTCTTTCTAGGCGACAACCTTATCTCCTGGTCCTCTAAACAACAAGTGACAATTTCCCGCTCAAGTGCGGAGGCCGAATACCGGGCTGTAGATAATGCCATTGCTGAAACGACATGGGTGTGTAAGCTCCTAACCGAACTACTATGTCCACCGGCGAAAGCAGCCATTGTTTATTGCGACAATATCAGTGCTGTCTATCTGTCCAACAACCCGGTTCAACATGCGTGCACCAAACACGTGGAACTTGACATACACTTTGTCCGGGACAAAGTTGCCTTGGGACATGTTCGTGTCCTCCACGTCCCGTCCGCATATCAGTTCGCTGACGTCTTCACCAAAGGACTTCTGGCCCCTCTCTTCCGAGAATTTGTCTCCAGTCTGCACGTTCGCCCATCTCCCGTTTCGACTGCGGGGGTGTATTAGCTGTATATTTACTAATATATATATTATAGATAAATATTGTATTATTGGTATGTATATCTCCTAGTTCCCTTGTGTAAAGGGTTAGGATTTTCACACAGGTAATATATATATCACAATAAACGTGAGAGATAAGGATTCTCTCTTCTCTCCAAATATTCATCTTCTATCAATATCCATTCTCAACACATTGCTTTTTGGCCGTCCATTCATCGTGGTATTTTTCGTCTACGTAATATTTTTTTTTCAGCATAATATCTATGGTTTTTTTTTTTTTTTAAATTTAGTTGTTTCTCGAACCTACCAAAAATAATTTCGCTTTCTTTTCTTCCAAAAAAATTCTTTTAGTGGATATTTATAAGTATGAAAACAATTATACAACTACATTCTTTGAAAGATTCAAATTTCTTTCCTCACGCAAATGTTTTTTTGGTTTCGTTGCTTTTGTTTTCTCATGCAACTATTGGCTTGGATTGGTTATATATACATTTAATCTTAATCTTACTTCAATGTCATCAATGTGTTATGTTTTGGTTTCCCTCCTAATTCATGTAATTTTGGTGAATTAGCTCTATAAATAGGTGCTGATATAATACATTGTTTGTAATATTATTGTATCTCATGCGGCAATTCTTTTTTTTCTCTATCAAAATATAAGTCACAACGATTAAGAATCTATCCACTTCTTATTTTGTTTCAAAAGAAATTTATGACTTTAATAATTATAAAAGAAATCATAGGATATCAATAAAAAAAAAAAAAAAGACAGAAACACGCACTAATTTCTCAAAATCTCAATTAACACCAAACTAACATATTTGAGAATTTTGAGTTAGATAATGAGTTACGACTTAAAAGCAATATTTTTTATTAGAGCTTATACCTATTACTATATATTACTAAGACATAAAGTTGTTGAAAGAGTAGTATCTGCAAATAAAACTTAATATCTTATATTAGAAATTTTTTGGTATAGTTGAGTTCGAAAAGGTTGTTGTTTTCCTTTGACATTTTCTGAGCGGCTGAATTGAGATCGCTAAGTATTAGAAGCAACAATGTGCATTCTATTGGTGACAATTTGTAATATTATTTCTCCTATCTAATATATGTGTTTATTATTATATGCTTTCATTGAAATATGTAAACCATAATTCATGTGTTTGTTATTGTATGCTTTCATTGAAATATGTAAATTTAATTAGTTGTGTAATTAAATAGAAAAAAATATCTAAATTTAATTAAGAGAATAGAGAAAAAAATAGAAATGAGTCAAAAACACATATTTAGAAAATGCTAGTACTTCACCCGTGCGATGTACGTGGATCAATTTTAAAATGAGAAAACAATAATAGTATATGTAATAAACTATATTATTTTAACAAATCGAATTCAAGTACACTATAATTTAAAAAAGATAAAATTTATCTGTTGATCCAGATTTATAACATATGAAGTGCAATTATATATTACAAAAAGAAAACAAAATCCCAAAACTTGAAACCACATGACATTATTTACAACAAATGGTACAAGTATTCCTTGTAATGCAATTAAATCCACCACGTGAATCTTATGCAAAATAGCCGACTTTAGCAACGAACATTATAGCGGATAATTCAAGCAAAATAACTTGCAAGTTTATCATTAACATCATCACATCAGTGATGCACACTACTTAAATTAAATTAAAACTAGATTGCATATTTATTCATTAAAAAAAAAGTAATGTAAAAAATGGAAAAAAAAATCTTGGAGGGGCGGCTGCCCCCTACCCCTCGTTTGCTACGCCATTGGTCAAGCCGTTAACCAATTCCTAATATATAAATGGTTTTTATGGGATCATGAATAATGTTCCCTACCAATATAAACGGTATCAATTGGGGAAGAAATCAGATGAAATGTTAGGCCAAAATTACGTCCGACTAGAGTTGCTCTAATTGGTTGAAATTGAAATATAAGGGAAGCTATTTGGACTTTGGAGTATACAAATTAAGTCTTTGTGTAAAGAAAAATGTGTATCAATTTCTTTTATATTTGCTTTATTGTGTTTTTTCTGCACTAAATTTTATTTTTCGTTAATAATTATAGGATGATGTTTCGTGCAGAGAAAATGAAAACATAAGAGGATCATTGTGCAATTGTTTGTAATAGATTGGAGTGAGACTCGACGCAAATTTTGTTTAAACACATACAAAAGGATTTATGCAAGTTCTTTCTAAACTTAAACTCAGTCGGGCATTTGTCGTCTTAATTGACACCGGTAAAAAATCGACGGATGGGCAAAGAAAAATAAAACACATGGCAATTTTAAAACAATTAAATGAACATAAATAAAATTTGGTAGTTCTCCTTTAACACATGGGTTTGTGCTGGTTAACCAATTTAATTGTACTTGTGTCAAACAAATGCCAATTCCTTCTTCTTGTTTCTTCTTTTTTCAATAATAGTTATTTTACCAGAGTCAATTTTAGACCCAAATTTAAATATAATTTATTAAGTCGTCAAAGATTATACTTATGCCAAACAAATTGACTTTATCTTATGAATCTTTATGAGTTAAATTATGAACCTCATGTGACCACACTAAGTAGTAAAGACAAAACAAAAATAATGAAATTATATAATTGATATTGTTCGTTGGAAATTTCCAAATTTTTATTTTTTATTTTTTATTTTTTATTTTTTTTGTGTGTGTGTGTATTTTCGATTAGAAGTGTGGTCAAATGTCGATTAAAATATAATTTCAAAGTCACCTTAATCTTCCCGGCCTAATTACATATGCAAAACCACTTTATAGAGTGGTTGGGTTTTCACTATGCTCAGGGGCGGACCCAAGGTATGCCTTGGGGGGGCCTCCGCCCCTGCAGAAATTTTTTTTTTACCTTTTTTTTATGAAATTTTTAATATTTTATGTTATTTATCTATTAATTTATACCATTTAGCCCCCCCAAAGTTTAAATTTAGTAGCATTTTAGTCCAAAAAAAAAATTCTAGCCCCCCCACCCAATACTCCCTAGGTCCGCCCCTGACTATGCTAATGGAGTAGTTATTATGCCAACCTCATCTAGTCATCTAGACTCTTTAATTTCTTTTATTTATATATATACATATATAAATAAAATCTTGTGCTTCACATTCAGAATCATTGTATTTTTACATAGGAAATATTTAAAAAAAAAAAAAAGAAAAAAAAAGATGGGGTCTTTGATGCAAGATTTGAAGAGACAAGCTTCATTCTTCTTGAAGGAGAAAATAAAGACAGCAAGATTGGTTCTCACAGACGTTACGCCTATGCAGCTGTAAGCTCGTCTCCGATTAATCCAATTTTTTTTTATATATACGTAATAGTTTTATATATGTTAATAAAATTTTATTGAATTTTTTTTTTTGGAACAAGAAGATTGACGGAAGAAGTAACAAATGGAGATTCATTAGCACCGGATGCTCATGCCATGCGGCTCATATCTCGTGCCGCCTTTGAAGTCGATGATTACGAGAGGATTGTGCAAATTCTGCATCACAGGTTTGCTTCTCTTAATATATTTTTAAAAAGAATTTATTTCACACACAAAAAAAAAACAGTCGAAAGTTTTTAAATTTATTGAGTTTGTTTGAAGTCGAATTTTGAAGTTGATTGTTGAATGACCACTTCATCTAAAAGATTAAGCTGTCATTTATATTTGTATCTCCACTAGATATTCTAATTACATTCCAAATTCAAACACAAATATTTTCTATAAGATATATATTTTAAAAGGCAAATTACGGCCACCCCCGAGGTATGGCCAAGTTACGAAAAAAACCATGTTGTTTGGGTAATTATAGTCACCCCCTCCTTTTAAATATTTTTACATGAAATTTATGTAATTCGGTTATTTACTTAACCGAATCGTATATTTAGTTCAGTAAACGATATGAAATGTTGGCGAACCAAAATTTTTTGGTTCGATTTTACCGAATTAACATCCCTATATTTACCTTTGGAGGAGTCTTTTCGTAAGATAATACATAGTTGATGGGGGCGACTGTAATTACCCAAACAGGAGGGGGTTTTCGTAATTTGACCATAATTCAAGGCTGACCGTAATTTATCCTATATTTTTAAATGTGGTGATATAATAACATATATAAGATATATAGATGGTGTGTAATATTAATTAATTAATTAATTAATTAATTAATATGGTGTTGTAAACTAATTTGTACTGTTTGGTTAATAAGGTTGTCAAAGTTTGATGCATGGAACTGGAGAGGATGTTACAATGGTGTAGTGTTATTGGAGAATCTATTGACACATGGACCACAACGAATTGCAGAGGAATTTCAAAGTGATAGAGATACTATTCAAGACATGACAACTTTCCATTTTGTTGATCACAAAGGGTACGGTTGGTAATTCTTTCTTTCGGGCCGGGCCGGGCCGAGCCGGGCTTGGCTTGAGACTTGTTTCTTTTACCTCCTAAGTTAAGTTTTGTCTAATGGTGAAGTTTATTTATTGTTGTATAAACAGGTTCAACTGGGGATTGAGTGTAAAGTTGAAAGCGGAAAGAGTAATGAAGCTTCTAGAAGATAGGACATATCTGAAAGACGAAAGAGCAAGAGCTAGAAAAATCACAGTTGGGATCAAAGGGTTTGGAAGTTTTAGCCAGCATAGGAAAATTGATGATGTGACTTCGGACGACGAAAATACCGACAGATTTTTCAGATCAAAATCTCTGTTTTTTGATGTTCAGCATCAGCATCAGCATCAACGTCCTGATTATGGATTGGAGAGTAAGCTATTGACATCAAATGACGACCAATTTAGCAACAAGATGATAGCTCAAGGTGACGATTTCAAAGGTTGGTCACATAAATACAAAACTCATGAGTTTGTGATGGAAGATGATCACCCCTTTTGGGACAAGGACCAAAACACCAGAATCTCACTTCTATCTTCCTAATACACACACACACACACACACATAGAGAGAGAGAGAGAGAGAGAGAGAGAGAGAGAGAGAGAGAGAGAGAGAGAGAGAGTGTCATATATATATATATATATATATATATATATATATATATATATATATATATATATATATATATATTATATGTATAATAGTTTGTAAAGTTTGTCACATATATAACAATATTACTTTGATTTGAAGAATATAAATGATGGATCAAAAATGCACACTAGAGAGTTCAATCATCACACAAGGCAAAAAGTAAAAATAACTTAATAAAAGCTAAAGAAATGCTTCTATACTGCACAATCTGTGTAATGAAATAAGCATAAATTCCTCGTAAGCAACACATGGAAAAGTCGAAATATCGCACTTGTTTTTATGCCAAAGGCTTCCAAGACAAACCGAACAAAAGAAAATCATATGGCACGGTAATTCATAAGAATCAACACTCTTCTGCTGTTCTCGTTTCGAACATTCTCTATGTACTACAAACATGGTTTATTCATTCATTCAACTCAAAATATGTGAAGCACAATGAAAAACGAAAAGAAAAATAATGTTCAAAACCTATTAATCAATCAATTAAAAATATAGAATAAGAACATCAAGAAAACCAAACTTCTAGCCCCCTCAAACTCATCAATCGAACACGAAAAAAACAACAGATATCGGGAAAAAAATCGTACAACTAAGGGAAGTACATTATGTTTCACAAGGGTTTTCGTCACTGCCCAATTAGAAGCACTTTCTATGCACAATAGACGGACCTGACTCATCGTATTCCGCCTTAGCAATCCACATCTGCACACCAAAAAAAAAAAAACATTAAAGAAAAGAACAATCAAATTTCTCGAAATAGTAAAAGCATCATCTTCAATACGAAAATCAAGAAACGGACCTGTTGGAAAGTGCTGAGAGATGCCAAGATAGAACCTCCAATCCAGACACTGTACTTCCTCTCAGGCGGAGCAACGACCTTAATCTTCATGCTACTCGGAGCTAAAGCCGTAATTTCCTTACTCATTCGATCAGCAATACCGGGGAACATAGTGGACCCACCACTGAGCACGATATTACCATAAAGATCCTTCCTAATATCCACATCACACTTCATTATAGAGTTGTACGTAGTCTCGTGAACTCCAGCCGCTTCCATTCCGACCATTGAAGGCTGGAATAGAACCTCCGGGCATCGGAATCGCTCGTTGCCGATGGTAATGACCTGTCCATCTGGCAATTCGTAGCTCTTCTCCACAGAGGAACTTGTTTTTGAAGTCTCGATTTCTTGCTCGTAGTCGAGAGCTATGTAGGATAATTTTTCCTTCACGTCTCTCACGATTTCTCGCTCTGCTGAGGTGGTGAATGAGTAACCACGCTCGGTGAGAATCTTCATTAGGTAGTCGGTGAGGTCACGCCCAGCTAAGTCGAGACGGAGAATGGCGTGTGGGAGGGAGTACCCTTCATAGATTGGGACTGTGTGACTAACTCCATCACCGGAATCCAACACAATACCTAATCAAGAACAGGAATAGTGAATAGTAATTAGCATTAAAATTGGATTATTAACTGAATTAGTGAGAAATTAGTAGCTGAGGATATCAATGGCAGTTTCGAGCATAGGGTCTTTGTAAGAAACACTTTCTTTAAACTACAATTTTTGGAATTTGTAAAAGCATATCAGTGAACTTAGTTTGTGATTCCATTAACTTATAAGCTTGAAAATGTTGGGCACCAACAATCAAATTTAGGACAGAAGGATCGGAACGGAATTATCACTTTCGGAAAAATTCCAGTATATTTCGTTAGTGAAAAACTAATTCCAATTCCATTCAAAATACATTTGAGAAAACCGGAAATCGGAATTTCGGAAATTGCAATGAAAGAACTTGTTCCGGAATTGGAAATTTTTTCGTGTAGGAAGCGGATTTCGGAATAAGATCCATAATAAGTTTGATATTACACGTGCAATTTTCAGAAAAATTTGAAATTTTCGGAAATATTTTTTTAAATTCAAATCGGATAGGAAACCGGAATCTAATATGTATTCCAATTTTGTTCCAAAAATTTGGGAATAATTGGAAATCGGAATTAAAAATGTTGTTCAAAAATTGGAATTTGGAATCAAAATTGGCGGAAATAGGAAATGTCGTTCAAATTGACACCCCTGATCAAATAACTTGAATATTTGGAAAAAAAATCAGAATTTTCTGAAATATCTTCAGAAATTAAATAAGATCGGAAATCGGAATCAAACATATATTCCAATTTCATTCCAATAAAAATCGGAATTCGAGAATGAAAAATGTTATTCCGAAATCGGGATTATTCGGATCAAAATTAGCTTTACACCCCAAATCAAACAACTCGAATATATGGAAATAACAAAACAATTGACGTATAACAGAATGCTCACCAGTAGTACGGCCACTGGCATAGAGGGAAAGAACGGCCTGAATAGCAACATACATAGCCGGAGTATTGAAAGTCTCGAACATAATCTGAGTCATCTTCTCCCTATTAGCCTTTGGGTTAAGCGGCGCTTCAGTCAAAAGTACAGGATGCTCTTCCGGTGCAACACGAAGCTCGTTATAGAAAGTGTGATGCCATATCTTTTCCATGTCGTCCCAATTGCTCACGATCCCATGCTCGATTGGGTACTTCAGTGTTAAAATACCACGCTTCGATTGAGCTTCATCACCTACGTACGCATCCTTTTGGCCCATACCCACCATCACACCTGTGTGGCGTGGCCGACCGACAATGCTTGGAAATACAGCTCTTGGAGCATCGTCTCCAGCAAATCCAGCCTGTAAGAAACACGAGAAATTTTTTCTATTAAATTCGACAATTTTTAGAGACGGATTGTGAACAAGGAAATTTTTTTTAAATTTATACCTTCACCATTCCTGTGCCATTGTCGCACACAAGTGGCTGAATGTCCTCTGTTTCGGCCATCTTATACTAGTTCCTGTAGTGAAACAATAGCTTCGTTAAGCGAACGGTTTTTTTTTTGTTTTTTTTATTTTACCAAGCCTGATAATGTTTTGGTTTGGCATTTCAGATTTGTATCACATAGATTTTTTCCGTTTAACATGTAGCAAACTAGAAATACCTAGATCAGAATAGAGAACCACGATTTGTAAAGATCTCAAAACATGAGCAGCTATGATTGATGTGTCAATGATGAAAATTTTCCCAATAAACGTTCACAGATTTGCAATTTGGGTTTCGAGGCCTCATCTAGCCATTGGAAAAGGACCCGATTCAAATAAAAAATCGCCAAGTACCAATAACATGAAACGAAAGAAATATTATTGATCAAGATGACGTTTTCTTGGAAAATAGAGAAATGCTCTTCGTCGTCAGCACATTTTTTAAATAATCTCTAACTATGAGTTTCTTGTAATTACAGAATACCTAGAAACACCGCACCAATCTACCATGCATGCTTATATTTTCTTTGGTTTATATAGCACCAATCGTTAAATCATCAAAGATCAACAAACTAAAAACGAGTTACGCAACCGTATACACCAATCCATCTCGAATAGACATCATGTTAATTTACCCCAAAAATTAATGAATTGACATCACAAATGACTATCAAAAAGGGTGTTCCCTAATCAATAACGGGTAAATGCGACGAACACGAAGCGTGTTAAGGCCTAAAAAGAAGTGAAAGAGTTAAATTTCAATGTAGGAATTCAATGCAATTTATCAACAAAACACAAAATCAAATTAAAATTTCCATAAAAACAGCTACCCCAAATCCAACTGCGGCAAAATGCAGATCCGAACATAATGGCGCCACCCAACTTCAATGATAACACAATCTACAGAATTAATCCTCCTTTCCTAATTTCTTAATACATACACTTTCATCGTAAGCACATAGCTCCAGTAATCCCCACCAAAAAAAGAAAAAAAAGCAAACGAAATCAACAACATAGAAAATGGCGGGTAAATCAAACGAATAATTCAACAAAGAGATCCACAGAAAAATCGAAATGTAAATTCCGAGAACAGAATATTTTCAGAGAGAGAGAGAGAGAGAGAGACCTTTCGTTCTTCCTTCCAGGCTCAACTCTTTGGCTGAGTTTTTGTTTTGTGAATGCTTCAGTCTTCCAAATGGGAGATTGAACTGGAGGATTATATGAAGGAGTTGGGGAGATCTGGACCGTTGGATTGAACCAGTCTGGATGTACGGTCGAGGGTGACACGTTGTGGGGCCTCATTATTTCCTCTTTATATTTTCTATTTGTGCTGCCCACTCTATTACACTCCTTCCCCTCTCTTTTCGCTTTTCCTCTCATTTTCTCTTCAATTAAGTAATTCATCCTTTTTTCTTTCTTTTCTTTTTTTTTTTTTCTTTTTTTCTTTTTTTCTTTTTTTATTTTTATTTTTTAATTTATTATAATGTTTCTTGTCATTAACTTTGTTTGTAAGTAAAAAATCTAGTCCATTGATTTTTTACTTTTTTTTACTTGTGTGATCATAGTTCGTGTATATGAATTTGGTGTAAGTTTTACTTTTCAATCTCCACTGCAATTTTTTACGACGTAGTACAATTTTCGAAACCTGTAAAAATAAGATTAAAGCATGGATAATAACCTTTAATAACTTCTAAGCAATAAACAAATTGTCTAAATCTTGGTAAATTTTACATTGCAATGTACATTGTGTAGATTTAGGAATTTGAAAAATCAAAAAAGTGAAACTCGAAAATTTGATCCGGATCCAAGCTATGAAGCCCCTATAAATAACTATTTTCTTTATTTTTAAAATTTGGAAAATATAATTTTTTTTACAATTATAGACTCCGGCAACAAAACTCGAATACTAGATCCGATTATGGGATGATACAAAACGATTAATAACTTGCTTACGCTAATGTTTGTTGTTTAATTAGTGTGTTGAAATGTTGTTGATTTATTAATGCAATTGTGTTATAGACAACTAATGAGGATTCAAATATATCTCTGTTAATTTGGTTGATTTTACATTTGTAGGACCTCAGACGCTACTAGTTGTCCTAAAATTAATTGGTGTAAGGAAAGATGCAAACTATAGTCTTATAGTGCATTCACCACACACAAGCGCCCTCGTTGTTTCATTGTGGACCTCCCATACCCGAGTCGCCCCACGTGGACAATTGCATAAATTGTTTTCTTTTACAGGATGCATAAAATATTTTGTTAGAGAATGCATAAAATATATTTTTTTTAGTTTTTTTGGTTTTTTTGGTGCATGATGAAAAAATAAAACTAGAGCAATGAATTTTATTTTTTTTGGTGCTTGACATGATTTTCTTTTTTCCCCTCATTGCCATTGGTATAACAAACTTCACTTTCGGCAAATTATTTCATCTTGTAACAATGCTAGTTAAAGATTTTAGGTAGCATAAAAACAAATTTGGTGAATACATCAACTTGACTTGTACATCAAACTTTCGGTTTCTTATTTACTTTTTAATTTGGATTTTTATTCATCTATACTTTTCCCAATTATTAGTCTTTCTATTGGCGCCTACCATTTTCTTTCCATCCAATTTTGCATACTTTACATTAGATTTGAGACTTGATATTCGCGGTTGCATTTATTTTTAAGAATATAGGTTTGCAATAATTCACTCTTTATATTTATTTCTCTTTCTAGAAAAAAATCTTCTTAGGCTTTTATATTAGAAATCGCCCCCGAAACTCATCGTATTATAGCGATCTACAAAGGAAAATGAGTGCATCGAACGAGGATCAAAATACACAATCCAATGATGTAACATTTGTTCGTTTTTGTTCTATAAATCGAGACAACGTGGCTCACGACCAAAATGGGCGCAGAAAAATAATTTCCACGCCCAAACTGGACGCTTAAAAGACTGACCCACGCCCAGTTTGTGCGCCCAACACTGTTTTCCGCGCCCGGTTTGGGCGTGGACCACTTCTGCACTTTCTTTTCTTTTTTTTTTTTTTTTGTAAAAATTCTTCTACGTTTGAAGTTGAACATAGTGAGCATTTTGTAGTAACAAAGCTATTTAAATTGAGTGATGAGTTGATCGATTTGGACGATGCATTGGCGGGTAGACGTCGGGCGTGTGACATTCTAAGTAGTAGTTGATGTATCTTTGTATGTAGTTCTTGTGTTGTTTGATGTTTATTCTCATTTTACATAGTAGTTGATGTATTTTCTTTTTTTATGTAGTTATGTGTTATTTGATGTTTATGTAAAATAAAAAAAAAATTAAAAAAAACCAAAAAATAAGTAGTAATCCGGCCATAATTAAAAAAACATATAAGAATAAATAGAAGTCTGGCCATAGTTAAAAAAACACTAACAATACGTAGTAGTCTGCCGATAATACAAATTAATTAACTAATGAATGAAATAAAAACAAAAAAATTGTAACTCTTTAAATAAATTAAAATAAAAGATTGTAACTCCTAAATAAAAACAAAAGATTGTCTGGACCAGACATGCAAACCCCTGACCCTCGCCTGTATCGGGTGCCCGAACCTCTAGTCCACGCCTAAACTAGGCATCCTCCCTCCATTTCCACGCCCAAAACATGCGTGTGAAAATTGTTTTCACACCCCTTTCGAGCGTGAAAAAGATTTTCATCCACCCGTTTTGGGCGTGGAAATCGCGCTGCATCAGCAAAATAAACCCAAAAAACGTGATTTCTTGGGGGTTTTCACATGATTAACACCAAATTAACCACAAATTAAACACATATAACTCATTTAGATAAGAAATTACCTTCAATTTAGAGAGATTTTAGGATTTGAGATGATTTGTGACGATTGTTGATGGTTTTTGTAAGTTTTGAGGCTTTTGGTGGGTTTAGATGGCTTTAGAGAGAGAAAGTCAAGAATATAATAAACAATATTCGTAATTTTTAGTATTACGTAAATCTTTTCAGTTTAGATTTTAATATGTTAACTACAAAACCATAAAGACCTAAATTGTGTACCATTGTAGAAAAATAGTTAACTATCTTAAACAACTCTATTTAGGATCAATTTGCATCCATATGCTTTCAACTTTGATCATTGACATGTCACACAACATATCATTGTCTTAGGTTATACTCTTTTGTATTTTTTTTAACTTTACATTTATATTATACTCTCTAGGCCATTTTGCAATTTGCTACCTTATATAAAACTCAGTTATGATTTTAGGGCAAATTACGGCCACCCATGAGGTAGGACTAAATTACGAAAAAAACTCCTTTTGTTTGGGTAATTAGAGCCACCCCCTCCTAAATATTTTTACATAAAATTTACATAATTTGGTTATTTACCAAATATTTAGTTCGTTAAGCGGTGTAAAATGTTGGCGTACTGAAACTTCGGTTCGGTTTTACCGAATTAACATCCCTAAATTTATCTCTGAAGGGGTCTTTGTTGGTGGTAATACCTACACGCAAGTGCACGTATCGTACAAGTAATATAGTGGATAATTAAGTCCGGATATCGATCCCACGGAGAATATTTAATTATTTAATCCTAGACGCTAAATCCTAGCAATTATTATCAAGCCTACCCTACACAGTTGAAACATGAATAATAAACTAAATTAACTAAACTAAATTAAAGCAAATTAAAACGACAGAGCAAGAAAGTATTTAAACACGAAGATTAATCAAAGTAAACAAGCCTAGGATTTTATTCTTCTCCATATGTGATTATTACTCCCCCAATTCCTTCAATTATGCAACCAATTAACCCGGATTATTAACTTGAGATGCTAAATTAATCATAACCCGCTTCCTCATGTATTACGATTCTAATACTCTAGATTCAATCACTGTATTCCTACGCAATTAATTATAGAACACCTCATTAAGCACAAATCTTAATAATGGCTACTTAAGAGATTAACTATATTCCTATGTTAATACCACAAAGGCTTTTCTACCACAGTTCTAATTATTAACCCAATCTTCCGATTCATGCGATTAACAATAACATCAAAGCACTTAAAGTGGCCAGTTTCATGAACTTAATAAAACAAGTAGAAGAAATAATCCGGAATTAAAACCTGCATAAAATCATAAAATTGGGTTCATAAATCCCACATATGGTTCAAAATAAAATCCTAGAAATAAGAAATTTAGCTATTCATTATTAAAGTAAAAACAAAATAATAATTCATGAAAAGATAAATTATGCTTGTAAGCTTCGAATTCTTCGTCTACGTTATTGCTTCGTTGCTCTTGAAATTGCGTAAAAGATCGATCCCCAATTGTGTGCTTGCCTTGGTCTTTATATAGGGTGGAAAACTTGGGGAAGAAGGCAATTTCCTTGTGCAATTAAAATCCCTTTACTGCGCCTCTTCGTAATCTCGGACTGCCGTCCCGAATTTTGTACTAAAACTCGGACGGCCGTCTGGGATATAAATCTTCAGATTTTTTACTTCTTCACTTTTGGCCAATATTTTCTCCAAAATTGCAGTTTTTACCCCGTACTTTTCCAATTCTTCAATTTGTACCTATAATACAACAAATCAAAATTTTAAGCACCAATTTTCATTAAAACACACCAAAAGCTCCAATTAAAAGGTACGATTAAGTGTTAAAATATACACTTAACACACCCTCAAACTTGAACTTTTGCTTGTCCTCAAGCAAAATCTACCAATAAGCAAATAACTCAACTAATACATTTCATTACATAGATCAATGATCAACTTCACGTTTTCAGAACTTGTAATTATAATGACAATTCTTAGGCATTCGCAAGCTCAAAATTCAACAGCACTTAGTCGCTCACCATTGCCAAAAACCACAAATCATACAATTGCATCAAGCATCCAATATTTGCAAATTAGAGATAGAAAGAATTTATACTTACATGCATATGTTTGACTCCAAATACTCACAAAATTATTCTACTCTACTAATATCGAACATTAAGCTATTGGGATCATTGGGGCTTTGTGGCTTTCAATTGTTAGGCTATTTGGTTCGAGGTAGGAAATACGGGCATATGTGGCTATTCTTCTTGAATTGAGGTGATTACGCCAAAATTTGAAAGATAGGCATTTGAAACAATGAATTCACCTCTAAGGACTTTAATAAACTCGATTCTTAAGAGTTCAAAGTCTCCACTTTTGCTCTT